ATTTAGCCTTAACCTTCCATTTCATGTCTATGACTTTAGGGGAAGGACTGAATCACTCTGTGCCTCAGTTTCTCCTTGGGAACCCCAGAGGTCCTCGCACAGGGCTAGAGCAGTGTCAAGGCTCCTTGGACTCTGGTCCTAGAGTCTCTACCAGGCTGATTCTGGCCGCTTCTGTCCCCCAGGGACTGCCTATAATTAGGTTTCCTCATAGCAGCTATAGATGGTAGTTTTGTCTTTGGGGCAAGCCAGTGATTCTGCTTCCTACCAGATGTCTTGTTGCAGTGCCTTGGGAGCTGAAGAGGTTCCCCATCAGACTCCAGAGACTCTGTCTTCCTTGGTCCCAGTGTGACCCTTGTCTGAGCCTCAGTCTGCTCATCTGTACAATGGAGACAAAAGTGTGACTGGATGATCAGGATCTGGCCCCTCTGCTACCTCAGACTCTTCCTCTGAAGCCCTGATTGCCTTGAATTGTAACTCATATTCTTCCAGGATTGCCAGAAATGTGAGTGCTATTTTTTCAGGGAGAATCAAATTGGTGCAGTCCCAAGGGGCAAGGCTCAGACGTGTGTGTGTGTGTGTGTGTGTGTAGGGGATGTGGGGGGGTTGGGGGTGAATGTGCTAACTTCTGCCTGTGACAGGGATGTTCCAGGTCCTTCCTCCACGTGGGGACCTCCCTCCCATCTCTGAGAATTGGTTTCTTTTTCTGTAAAATGGGGCAGGGCAACCTTGGCCCTGGCATTCCCAGGTTGGAGCACCTGGTGTAGAGCCTGGAACCCCCATCCCATGGAGGCAAGGCCTTCCATTCCAGGCTCCTTTGGGTCATTCCGGGGATGGGGAAGGCAGCTGAAGCTTCACAGAACGGAAGACCTGGCAGGAGTGGAGTGCGGATGTTTGTCTGCTGGAGACAGCAAGAGAGGGGAAAGGATCCAGAGACAGGGCCTGGGAAATGTCAAAGTGAGTGGGGGTCATGTGGGGACTTGTGGAAAGGGATCTGGAGAGGGGGCGCTGAGTTCAAGCCCTGCTGCCTGGCAATGAAGTCTTGTGTCAGGTAACACCCCATTTCATGCCTCAGTTTCCCCAACTTGCAAAGGATGAAAGGTTTGTAGTTTATGGACAACAGCTCCTTGGCGTCTCCCTCAGTTTCTCTAGAAAATGGGCAAAGAGGGATTGGAAACTCTGTGGTATCTGAGAGCCCCTCCGCAAACACTGTGCCTGGTGACCCTCTCATAATGGGGGACACTTCCCCTTCTGACTTCCGCTTCTCTCTCTTCAACCAAGTTATCTGTCTGGCAGGTTGTACTAAAGGGGGACATCACAGAGGGATGTGGTGTAAGATCCGGGTTCTGGGTCTCACGGAGGCCCCTCAAATTGTGGAAGCAGAGTCGTGCGTAGGGCTTTGCATCACTTTCCCGGTTTATCCCAGGCAGCGCGGTCTACCAACCCTTTAGCATCGAGGAGGGGCCGACGGGCCCTCTGCTCCCTCCCCACCGGCCCCGCCCCCGAGGCTTTACAGAAAAGGTTCGGCGCAGCAGGCGCTGGGTGCAGCCTCTGAGCTCTAGCCGCGAGCCTCGGTCATGCAGGGCCCCCCCGCGCCCGGCCTCGGCCCTGGGCCCAGCTCCCCCCGGGGCTCCCCGCGAGGCTCTCCCGGGCTCTACAGGAAGCTCCTGGTGAACCAGAGCATCCGCCTGCAGCGGCGCTTCACGGTGGCCCATCCGCTGTGGTGAGGCTAGACCACGGGGCTGGAGGGGCTCGCGGAACCGCGGGTCTGGAGGTGGGAAGGGCAGAGTCAGGGACAACTGGGGGTAGGTTGGAGGTCAGAGCACAGATGCTCGGCCTCTCTCTCCCTTTATCTGTCTCATCTGCCTTTTCTCTGTCCCCGGTAGTTGGTAACTCTGTCGCCATCTCTCCGTATCTCTGTCTTCCTGCCCTCATCTGAGGGATACATGCCCTGGGGACCAGCCTTTTGTCCATTTGCAGCTGTGCAGCCTGGAGCGGGACGGGCCGAGGCTCACGTCTCCTCCTGACCCTCGCTGGAGGGGCAGGCAGGCTGAATGTGGGTCAGGTCACTCGTCCCTTGCCTTGAGGCCCCATCCTTCCCGTGCCAGCACAGAGATGGCCCCAGAGATGGCCCAGGGCCTGGGAAGACTTGAGTTGATGCCGGCCTTCAAGGCAGAATGGTTTGCGGTGTAAGAGGGCAGGTCGTACGTCGCGGGCTGCCCCCTCAGCCCTGCCCAGTTAGGTTGCATCCTCCAATTACTCTGCCCAGTAGTCTGGGTTCGATCTGACCCTACAGGAAGCACCCCGGGGAGGTGGAGATGGATCAGAGGTGGGGTTTGTGAGCGCTGTTTCTGGCATTCTGAGCCCCGTTAAGCGGTGTGCTCGCTGCATTTGCACTCCCTTGGTAATTCGTACCCAGAAGGCTCCGAGACTGGAGGTCCCTTCTCCAACCTCTCACGCCAGGCAGTGATAGTTGGGGGTGGGTGTAGTCTTTTTTTTTTTTTTTTTAAGATTTATTTATTTATTTATTTATTTATACATGCACTGGGTACAGTCAGAAGCGGGAGGGTGAGAGAATTCACCAGAGCCAGAGCGGGGAGCAGAGCAGGCAGAAGGACCGAAGTACACTGCTGAGGGGAGCAGCGGGCGCGGCAGGGGAGGTCTGCGCGCCATGTGGGACCCTCCCTGGCAGCGGGGGATCGAACCGGCGCTGCAGAGGCTGCGGGCAGCTTTGCAGCTCAGCGCTCAACCGCTGCGCCACCGGGGAGGCCCGAGGGTGTAGTCTTGACCGTGGTCCCTGATGGTGCGTGGAGGGGTGCCCCAGAGAGTGCCTCCAGGGCACCAGACCTCTACAAAGAGGTGTTTGAGGAGCTCTCCGGGGAGTGGGCATCGCGGGAGCACCCTTAGGTACCTTAGGTACCAACAAGCGAGGCTGGAGAAGGGCGCGGGAGGAGGGATGGGGGGGCGGGTCCCTCCCGGGCGGGTCCCTCCCAGGTGCCGAGCCGCGGCTTACCTGCCTACCAGCGCACAGACGTGCGATTCCCAGAGTCTGGGAATCTCGGCCGCGCCCCCGGCGTCGTGGCCGCCCGCCCGCGTCATGGAACCACGACCTGACCCCGCTGCTAAGTTTAGAGTAGAAAGAAAAACAGCCTCCTCTGCGGCCAGAAAAACCCCGCCTAGACCTTAACCCTCCATAGATTCGAACCCTGCACCTCTGCGGGCCTCAGTTTCCCTATTTACGCCCCAGCCCCACCGCGGTCTGAGCCGAATCCCCTCTTCGAAGCTTTTGGGGAGGCGCCTGTCCCTTGGGTCGGGATGAGTGACCTGGTGGGGGCTCGGGTCCATTAATGGCCTTCGGCCAGGAGGCCCCACTGTTGAGCTGCCTTCGGTCTCGCCTTGTCTCCGCCTCTCTTGCCTGCCCCCTTCTCAAAATCCGGTGACCTACAGGCAGCCCCTCTACCCAGTTGTGAGCTCCCGCACCTCGGTGCTTGCCCCACGCCCCCTCCAACGTTTTCTCTGACGTTTCCAAGGGGGAGGAACATTGACCCCCTATAGTTAGGGTGTAGTTGGAGGGGGGGACACGACTGAGAGAGCTAGGAGGAGGGTTAGGAATGGCCGGGGCAGGGGTCATCGTAGGGAGGGCTGTGCTCTGGGTAGAGGTCACTGCCAGTGCAAAGGGGCAGCGTTGCAAGAGAACAGGCGGACGATCAGGATGACAATGTGACAGCTGAGGATGGGCCACGCCCTCCACACCACTCGGCCCCGCCCCCTGCCCCATCTCCAACTGAAGGCTTCGTTGAACATATTGGGGTGCGGCCATAAGGCCCGGAGGAGGGACCTAGTGATTCAGGGCGGGACTAAGGCTGGGGGCGGGGCTTCTCCCTGCTATGGGGAGCTTGCCAGACCTCGGTTCCCTCCAAAGAGACAACCCAGGAAGTCGTTTCAAGTCCCTTAATCTTTTTTTTTTTTTTTTTTAAGATTTATTTAGGGCTTCCCCCGTGGCGCAGCGGTTGAGCGCTGGGTTGCGAAGCTGCCCGCAGCCTCTGCAGCGCCGGTTCGATCCCCGGCCACTCCCCGGCCACTCCCCGGCCACTCCCCGGCCACTCCCCGGCCACTCCCCGGCCACCGGAGGAGGGTCCCACATGGCTCACAGACCTCTCCGGCCGCCCGCTGCTCCCCTCAGCAGTGTACTTCGGTCCTTCTGCCTGCTCTGCTCCCCGCTCTGGCTCTGGTGAATTCTCTCACCCTCCCGCGCTTCTGACTGTACCCATTGCTTGTATAAATAAATAAATCTTTTTAAAAAGATTTATTTATTTATGCATAAAGAACTGGGGTACAGGCCAGAGGTGTGGGGGGTGAGAGGATTCACCAGAGACAGAGTGGGGAACAGAACAGGCAGACTGACTGAAATACACTGCTGAGGGTGGCAGCGGGTGAGACAGGAGAGGTCTGCTGCACGATGTAGGCAGCTCCCTGGCTGGAGACAGAACTTGTGCTGCAGAGACTGCCAATTAAGGTTGCATCTTAATCCCTTGCGCCACCAGGGGGGGCCTCAAGTCCCTTAATCTTACTATGTAACCTGGACCCCCAGTTCCTCTTTTGTAATAAGGGTGCCCAGCTGGCACACTAGAGTGCTCAGTAGTAACCCTCAAAGCGACCCTTGGGTGTATATCACACTTATATGACAGGCAAGGAGGTGGATATCCAGAGAAAGACTGAGACCTACCCTTGGCCACACAGTCCCTTGGGGGCAGATCTGAAAATCACTTACTGGAGTTTCCCAGTGGAAAGAACTTGGGTACAGACTCAGAGACCGGGGCGTGAAGGGTATAGGGCCCCTCAGTGTGTGTGTGACCATGAGGCAGGTAGACAATCTGAAGACTCCACTTACCCAGCCCCTCCCCACTCCTGTCCAGGGAAGATACGACAGCAGGTATGTGCCACAACCCAGCCTCCACATGCCTGGACCCTCAGCTCTGATTATGCCTCCTCTCTGCCTTCAGCTTTGACCTGGAAAATGGGCTCTCATGTGGGAGAAGTGCCCTGGACCCTCAAGCTGGGCCTGGCCTTGGACGTGTTGCCCAAGCACCTGCCCAGCACAATCAGCGTCGGGAATCCTTCCTGTACCGCTCAGACAGCGACTATGAACTCTCCCCCAAGGCGATGTCCCGGAACTCCTCCGTGGCCAGCGATCTGTGAGTCTGAGGCTAGTGGGATAATGCCTTCCTTTATTCCATTTAGCACACTTCCTTCAAGGTGGCCATTTGAGATGGACTTTGAAGTTTACGTAGGAGTTTCGCAGCCATCTCAGTCAGTCAGTCAAGCATGCCGGGTTATCCTCTGTGCTTGACTTTAGGGGGGGTTGGGTAGCAATACAGAAATATTAAAGCCAATTAGCAGCAACTGAATAAAAACCTTGATTTGAGCTTTCTGGTAGCCATAAAGAAAAGGAAAATACAACCAATTGTATTCTGCATCTACTAAGGCCCTGCTGCCCCTGGGACTCAGTTTCTTCATCTGTGAGACGGGGAATAAAGTGAAATTTTCAGGGAAATTGGGTGAGACAACTCCATGGACCAGGAGGATACCCGAAGTCCTGGGCAGAAGATATCGTGTGGGTAAAAGCTGAATATGGGAGTTCTCCTCCTGGCAGCCCTCCCTGATGTTCTATCTTCCTCCCAGACACGGAGAAGACATGATTGTGACACCCTTTGCCCAGGTGGGTGTCTTTTCCTTTTCTTTATGAGTCCAGCAGGAGGAACCCATCCCTCCTTTTCAATGCTGCTCACCCCTCTGCTAACAGGTTCTGGCCAGTCTGCGGACGGTTCGAGGCAACCTAGCAGCGCTTGCCCACCTGCCAGGCCGCTGGACAACCAAGTACGCAGAGGGCTGGGCTGGGGACTGGGCTTGCAGGGGGCGGGGCCTACAGAGGAGGTGGGCAAGGTCTGAACGAGAGGGACGTGGCCAGAGAAGAGGTAAGCTGGGCGGGGCCTGGTCGGAAAGAGTGCGACCGGCTACTCTAAGCTGACTGGGTGAGGGCGGGCCTGGAGGGCTCGAGGGCGGGGCCCCGTGGTGAGGCAAGCCACCCTGAGTGCGCTGTTCCTCAGGCAGGTGTCTGTCGGGAACCCCCCAACTGGCAGTCATCCTCCTCCTCCTCCAGGTAATGTGCCTGCTCCTCCTCCCTCCCCCCCACTTGATGATAGCTATGAACTTCCTTTCCAAGGTGACCTCCCCAGTACAGCCCGTGAATCCTTAGGTTGTGCTAAGCACACCCCCAACAGAACTCACTCTGAGATGGAGTTTTCCACACCACATTACCGATGGGGAGGCTGAGGCACAGGGAGGGACAGACACCTGCCCAAGGTCACACAGTCACTTAGGGATAGATCTGCAACTCAGATCCTGGGCTTCTGAGTGACCCCATTGGGAAGGGTTCCATGGTGCAGATGCAGAGATGGAGGCATGAGGGACGTGAGATTCCCAAGTGGGGGTGGGGCCGGCCCCCTGACCATCTCAGTCCCCAGAGGACACTGGGCAGAAGCTGGCTTTGGAGACACTGGATGAGCTGGATTGGTGTCTGGATCAGCTGGAGACACTGCAGACACGCCACTCGGTGGGAGAGATGGCCTCTAACAAGGTGAGGAGGGCTGGAGAGCCTGTAGCGCCTCCCTCTTCCCCTCTGCACACAGCAGCTCCACCATCACTGTCCTCCCCTTTCCTGGCAGTTCAAACGGATGCTGAACCGCGAGCTGACTCACCTGTCCGAAACCAGTCGCTCTGGGAACCAGGTCTCCGAGTACATATCCCGAACCTTCCTGGGTGAGCTGTGGGTCACTGATTGTACTTTATAAAGGGAGAGAAAGAAAGACCCCAGACCTCACTCTGAGGAAGACTGAGCCAGACACAGACATCCCCAGCCCCATGAGTCAGGACTGGGCCAGAGGGAGGAACAGAAGGAAATTCCAGAAGGAGGAGATTCAAGCTAGGGTTTTTAAGCATGAGTAGACATTTGCTAAAGAAAAGCTGAAGAAACCAGACAGTTTTCGAGATAGGAAGCACATTGGGCTGTTTGGGGAAAAACACTGAATCCCAGGTGCCCAGGGGCCAACTCCCATTGAGAATAGCCATGGGGTGGTGGGCGGGGTGGGGGGGAGAGAGGGAGGGAGGGAGAGTAGCTGCAGGCCAGACAGAGACTTTCCTCCAACTTACTTTGATCCAGGTAAAAAGGAAATAAGTTGATCCTGAGACTCACCAAGGTCCTGGATCTGAAGCCAGGCAGGATGATCCCAGCAGGTGAATCAACTTCTCTGAGCCCTATTCTCCCCCACCTGCAGACCAGCAGACGGAGGTAGAGTTGCCGAGGGTGACCCCCATGGAGTCCCCGAGGCCCATGTCCCAGATCAGTGGCCTGCATGGGCTCCCTCACAGCACCAGCCTCTCTGCAGCCCCTATCCCACGATTTGGGGTCCAGACCAACCAAGAGGGGCAACTGGCCAAGGTGGGTCCCCAACTGGAATGCTGAGATGGAGTTTGAAGCCTAATGCAAGATCTGAAGGCCGGGGGGAGGGACTAGGTCAAGCCTCTGAGGAAGTTGGGCTGGAATTAAACTCAAGTTCTTTTAATTTTAGGAACTGGAAGACACCAACAAGTGGGGGCTTGATGTATTCAAGGTGGCAGAGCTAAGTGGGAACCGGCCTCTCACAGCCATCATATTTAGCATCTTTCAGGTACCTCCCCTGACCTTTGCTTCCAGCATCCCTCAGGTTTCCTTCACATCTTCCTGTCTCAAGACCACAGGGGACACTCTTCATATCCTCTCTGACACCCCCAAATAAATTATTTGAGTAGGGTATTGAAGGGTGAACAGGAGCTCACTAAATTGAGAAGTTCATTGTCAACAAGCCTCAGCTCCGGGCTCAGCCATGGAGAGGGAGGGAGGGCTCAGGAGGGAACAGCTGAATACTTACACCCACAGTGCTGTCAGGTCAGAGCTGGATAGAGACTGAAGGGGTTCAGAGGGAGAGTAGGAAGGATGTCCTGGAAGAAGGGGCATTTGAGGGATGGATAGGCTAAGAGTTCAGGAGGGCCAGAGTAGGATCATTGTGTGCTACAGCCCCAAGGCCAAGGACCTGACTGGGGTTCTGTGATGAACCAGGAACGGGACCTGCTCAAGACATTTCAGATCCCAGCAGACACACTTGCCACCTACCTGCTGACACTGGAGAGTCACTATCATGCCGATGTGGCCTACCACAACAACATACATGCGGCTGATGTGGCCCAGTCTGCGCACGTGCTCCTGGCCACACCTGCCCTGGAGGTACAGCCCTGGAGGTGGGAGGTGCTGGGCATGGAAAGCCTGCCCTCACTTCTCATGCCCTGCACCTGCTCAGGCTGTCTTCACAGACCTGGAAGTCTTGGCTACCATCTTTGCAAGTGCTATCCATGATGTGGACCATCCTGGAGTCTCCAACCAATTTCTCATCAACACCAGTGAGTCCAGGGAAGACCCCCACCTCCACCTGACAATCATGTGTTCCCAGTCATCTTGGTCCCTGCTCTGAGCCCAGTTTCCCTGTTTGTGAAATAACTTTGACAATCTTCCTCCCTTGGGTGCTCAAGGTACACAATAGGCTCTCAATAAATGAGAGAATAACAAATGTGACAGAGCTTATCTGGACCCACTGAGATTTTAAAGTATAATGTCCTTTCAAGAATCTTAAAAACTCAGTCAACAAGCAAGTGTTGGATACCTCTGGTATACTGTCTCTGTACATATGGGGATGAGTGGAGGCCTCTTATTCCATGATTCCAGAGTCTGATAAGATGAAACTCAGTTGGTCATTTAACCAGCACTCTGTATGCATTTTCTCCTGCCCTGCCAGGTCCCCAAGGAGTCCCCAGTTTCAAGAGACAGTCAAACACAATGATCCCAGCCATTTGGAGTTAGGTCAGGGCCAGGGGGAGGCATGGGCTCCCATGGGTTTCCTGGAGAAGGGGACATTAGTATTAGGGCTTCAATGCATGAATAGAAGTTTGGCAAGGATTCAGAAGACCTACCTCTGGTGGAATGGGTGGGGTGGGCAGGTCTTAAGGCTCTCCACCTACCCCCTCCAGACTCAGAGCTTGCACTCATGTACAATGATGCCTCTGTACTGGAGAACCACCACCTGGCTGTGGGCTTCAAGCTGCTGCAGGCAGAAAACTGTGATATCTTCCAAAACCTCAGTGCCAAGCAGCGGCTGAGTCTGCGGAGGATGGTCATCGACATGGTAAGACCATAGTGATCGATGGGGTGGCTTGGTCTTGGCCTGGCCGGGAGTTCAAAGTTTCCTGGTCTATAAAATGAGACAAAGACCATTCAAGCCTGGAGTGGGGGTGAGCAGGCTCTTGCTCAAGCCTATCATGTCTTGGCTACAATTCGTGCACAAGGGATGTGAAAAATGAGTTTTTAGGGTTTCAGGTATAACTTTTCCAAGCCTTGAGTGTCTCCATTTGATATTTTTCAGGTTGGGGGAACCCAGTAAATTTTGGGGCCTCATGCTTCTATTATTCTTATAATAAGCATTTATTGAGAACCTACTGTGTGCATGGCCTGGGCCAAGACCAAGACAGTTCTAGATTTATTAGATTTGTGGGGTGGGGATAGACACAGTGGGGAACCATGATGGGGGACCCATAGACAGAGCTGTAATGGGATAGATAGCTGTGGTGGCAGGATGCTCAAGGTTGGGGAGAGCTTCCCAGAAGAAAACACTGAAGTTGAGGTTGGCCACTGCTTGGGAGAAATGTTTCCAGCAGGGGAAACAGCATGTAGGAAGGGCTAGGAAGAAGCCAAGACTCTGAGTGAAAGGAACTGAAAATTTGGTGAGGTGGAGTTAGGGCTTCAGGTGCTAGGCACCCCCAATGGAAGCATCATTTGAGGAAGATTGGAGGTTTGGGGAGAAGTTTTGAAGCTTTCTGTCTGATTTTGAAAAGCCACACGAGTCTAGCTAAGTAGATTTCAAAAACAGGGCTGGAATTCCTTCCAAAAGACTGAAAACAGCTTTTCCCGCTAGGTGGCAGGCTCAGGGCTGTTTGGGTGTCTGACCAAGTCAGGTTCCTCCTGGTTTTAAAACACCTCTGTGGCTCCCAGGGTCCCTCTGGATAAATTGCCCATAAAACCTCTTGCCCCTGACCTCACTACCTTCCACTGATCCTGTGCTCGCTTGTTCCAGCCACAACCCGCTCCTTTTTGTCCTCTGCTCATTGGCCCCAGGCAGTGTCTTCTGATGGCCTCTGCCCTGCACTGAGACACAGATCTCCTGGCCCCCAGATTTAATCTCCTTGCCCTGGGCTGAGTCCCACATGTTCCCACATGACTCAGCCCTTCTTGTGAGCTTTGCAGCCAATTTTATTGTATCTGCCCCCCCGCCCCCGCCCTCACCGGTCTCACAGGTGAGGACACTGAAGGCCGTGAGTCTGAGTAGGTGTGGCATCTGGGAGGTGGGGGATGACAGGTAGGACCCTCATACCTGTCATCCTGCCCACCTGCCCCAGGTGCTAGCCACCGACATGTCCAAGCACATGAATCTCCTGGCTGACCTCAAGACCATGGTGGAGACCAAGAAGGTGACAAGCCTAGGAGTCCTGATGTTGGACAACTACTCTGACCGCATCCAAGTATGTGGCTGGTGGGCAGGATCTTAGTTTCCAAGACTTAACAGTCAATGACCAGAACACGTTCTGAAAATGCATCATTAGGGGCGTAATTACATACACCTAGATGGTGTGCCCACTGCACAGCTACACATGGTACAGCCCATTGGGACCACTGATGTCTACATGGTCCTTCGTGATTAAGCAAAGCATGATTGTATTTAGCTGCTCTTGTGAAACTGACTCTATGCCAGAGTTGAAGTGGAGACACTAAAAAGTTAGGTACCAGCGCCACTCCTTCCCCTCCTAGCCTTTAGCTTTCCCACCTGTGAGATAGGCGTGTCCATGGTGTCAGCCTCTGGTTGGGGGCGGTGGGTACTAGGCCTGGGGGTGACCCGACCCGAGCCCTCCTGACCCTTGGTCTCCCCAGGTCCTGCAGAACTTGGTTCACTGTGCCGACCTCAGCAACCCCACAAAACCGCTGCCCCTATACCGCCAGTGGACAGACCGCATCATGGCCGAGTTCTTCCAGCAGGGTGACCGTGAGCGTGAGTCAGGCCTGGACATCAGCCCCATGTGTGACAAGCACACGGCTTCGGTGGAGAAGTCCCAGGTCTGAGGGAGACTGAGTGAAGCCGAAAGTCATTTGGGATGGGGAAGGGAAGGCATGGTGGAGCTGACCCCATGAGTCCTGACCTGATCCCTACTGGCCAGCCAGGGGAATGGCCTAAGGGTGAGGTCTGCACCGGCCTGTTGGAGTCAGGCTTGGGAAGCATTCTCTCTGCTCAGAAGGGAAAGGGATCTGTACTCGTGGGGTTTGGAAATACCTATTCTAGGTGATGTGGGGAACCCTGCAGGGGTTCCCATTCTGGAGGACACCTAGTTTAGAGTGCTCAGAGCTGTGGGTTATGGGAATCCAGAAGGTGCAAAGGAGGCTTCTTAGAGGGAGAATTATTTGAAGGGGGTTTTGAAGGAGGAGTAGGCATTGCAAAATGGCATTCCAGGCAGAGGGAACATCCTGGGCAGAGGCCTAGAGGCTGAAGTGGTTTTAGATCCCATGGTGACTCACAGCACCACCTCCCCTTTCCTCCCTCCCTGTCGCTCCACAGGTGGGTTTCATTGATTACATTGCCCACCCGCTGTGGGAGACCTGGGCGGACCTGGTCCACCCAGATGCACAGGACCTGCTGGACACACTGGAAGACAACCGAGAGTGGTACCAGAGCAAGATACCCCGCAGCCCGGTCGACCCCACCAGCCCCGAGCGGGGTGGACCTGACAGGTTCCAATTTGAGCTGACTTTGGAGGAGGCTGAAGAAGAAGAGGAGGAAGAGGAGGAAACACTGGACTGTGGGGTCTCAGAGTCACCTGACACTGAGCTCCTGTCCCCTGAGGTCAGTCTAGACCCTGGGACTCCACACCTGCACAATCAGAGGACTATGGGCAAGGCCTGTGTGGACCCCAAGGGAACTGTGATGGCTGAGTCCTTTGGCACCTAGTGGCCCCTGCTGGGTGAGTGGACTTTCCAGGAAGAGGTCCACCTCTTCCCAGGTAGTCCCTGCTTTGTCTTTCCCACTCACTGAGGGAGACAACCAAGCTTTTAAGTTGAGGCAGGTATTAGGATTGAATTGAAGACACCTGGCTGGGGTGTACTCTGACCACCAGGCTGACTCAAAACTTTGCAAGTTTCTTTAAGTACCTTTGGAATCCCCCTCCTGGTCTTGTACACCTGGTGTGGAAGAGGGGTGTTTGCCAGGCCTCTTGTCACCTTCCCTTGAACCACGTCCATCACTTATTCTTCACTCTTTATCAGATAATTATTAGATGCTGTATTCCAGGCCTGTGCCTGCTGTGTCTCTAGGGTAGCCCTGCACAAGGGTTAGGGAATTGACCCCAAAAGATCCCCTCTGCAGGTGCCTCCCCTTCATCCGCCAGGTAGATGCAAGAGAGGAGGACCCTTGAACAGGGGAATTCTCACCACTAAAGCATTCCGATCCAGCTATGGTGGGGGCCGATGGGAACAAGAGAGAGAAGGCTCTGTGTCAGGGACCATCTCTGAAGACAGATTCAGCCTGTCATTGTTATGAACTGGGTGATGCTTCAAGTTGCTATAGTCTCTGCCTTCAGGGCCCTGAGGCCCTGAAGGCAGAGACTATTGCTGGGTCCCCCCTGGTCATTTTCTTCCTTGTGTAGAAACACAATAAAAGCAAAGAATTTCCCCATCCAAGGTGGGTCTCTTAATCTGATTCTGAGGCTAGAAGGAGGACTCCTGTGTGTCATAGCCTATTCTGGGCCTCCTTTTCCCTCTGTGACCTGGTCCTAGTTTTTGGTTGGGGTGGGGGCGTCTGTGATCTCCCTGAAATACTTTAGACATTTGGGGACATTAATGGTTTCTCTGAGGTTAAATAACCCTATTACCCTAAATTAGTACCATGCCCATTTCACGGATAGGAAAACTGAAGCATAGGAAGGTCCTGTTTCTTGCTCCAGATTACACAGCTGGGTGCCAGACTTTAGTCAATGGTGCTCCCTGGTAGGGGGAGGTGGGGTGAATTCAGGGGTCCTCCATGTCTTGTGGAAGGAAGAGCTCATCTGGGAGGGAAGGGGCTAACCTCACATGTGGCAGAGCATGTGGCTCTTCACTTAAGTTTCAGTTCGCTTCCCACCTCTGAAAGCCTCGGTGTGTCCCCCCTCCTCCATTCCTGTGTGCCTGAAATGTGTACGTGACGGGTCATCACAGCAGCCCTTGGCCCCTTTGAGAGCATCTGGCTTCATTCCTAAAGATTAACATTCTATGGATAATTCATCATCACAATACAAAGTCAACAAAAATAGAATTAAAAGTCATCTGGGTCATGAACTTGGTGCATTTACAGTGAGAATTTTTTTTGAAAGATTTATTCATTTATGCATAGAAGAACTGGGGTGTAAGCCAGAGGTGTGAGGGGGTGAGAGATCCCCCAGAGACAGAGTGGGGAGCAGAACAGGATCTACTGAAATACACTGCTGAGAGGAGCAGCGGGCGAGACAGGAGAGGTCTACTGCACCATGTGGGTAGCTCCCTGGCTGGCCTGGGATGGCAATAGCTTGATAGTGCTGTCTTTAACCCCTGTACCATCAGGGAGGCCCTACAGCCAGACTTTTAAAGCACGAGATTTAGGTGTTTTTTTTTAATTTATAACCTCTCCTCCCTTACAAGTAACATATGTTCACCATAGGTAATTCAGAACCAATAGAGACATAAAGAAGAAAATAAAATTCTGCTATAATCTCACTCATAAATTATCTGCCTTCAACATTTACCTTACTTCCCTCCAGTTTTCTTTCTCCATCTGTTTATAAGAACATTCACATGTCCCTTTGATTTGGGCCCCTGCACCCCCCCACTGTCCCCCTTATTGGCTGTTCTCCACTCCTGGTGACTTTCTATACCCCAAGGAGAGGGCCTTTGCATGTGTGTGCCCACAACCTTGTATGCTTCTCTTTCTCCTCCCCCTCATCTGGGTCTGAGCTCAATGTCTCCTTCCCTAGGAAGTCCTCCCTGACTCGCTACTCCAGGCTGACACTGGTAGAGATTTTCAGGGATTCTCTGATTCATGTTCTCTACCCTCTCCAGACTTATACCTAGCGGCCCGGACCCGGTCCACCACACCATTCTCAGTGTCCTCCAGCTTTGAACTTTGGCAATGTCAATGAGTCCTTTTACCTCCGGAGCCTTGTAAAATGGGTCATTTGTGTGGATCACAGAATTGTAAGGACAGGTATCTTTTGGGAAAGCATGCCCTGAACCAGCTGCGAGCTCCATACCCAACAGAATGCAAATCAACTCTACCTCCCTCTTCTCCCACTTCACAGATATTGAAACTGAGGCCCACAGAGGGAGGATGTGAACACATGCTTCCAGAACTCCTTTTTCTCCTGTTTGGGGCACTTCTGGAGAGGCACAGTCTCTCTCTCTCTTTTTTTTTTTTTTTTAAGATTTTTTATTTATTTATACAAGAACAGGGATACAGTCAGAGGCATGGGAGGGTGAGAGAATTCACCAGAGACAGAGCAGGGAGTAGAACAGGCAGATGGACCAAAGACACTGCTGAGGGGAGCAGCAGGCAAGACAGGAGAGGTCTGCCATAGCACGTGGGTTTCTCCTTGGCCGGCCGGGAATCGAACCCATGTGCAGAGGCTGCGGACAGCTTCACAGCACGCTGCTCAACCCGCTGCACCACCGGGGAGTCCCATAGTCTTTGCCTTTGTGACTCACCCTAGATTTGAAGAGGAGGCTGGATGTGTCCAGGGCCCCTAGGAACTTTCAGTCCTTATGGCTCATAGGGTAGCTCTCAGGGCTTCAGTGTGTCCTCTGTTAAGGGAGAAAAAGTTGCCTGACCCACTTCTCTCACAGAGCTGAAGTGCTGTCCCTTGAGCTCATTTGGTGAGTTCCAGCCTCTGAGCCTTTGCAGGTGCTGTACTGTCCCTCTGGAGCAATGTTTGCCCACCTCTCTGTGTCACTGGCTCCTTCACCAAAGTCATCATCCATCCAAAGTCTAGCCATCCACCCATCCAGCCATCTAGCCAGCCATCTGTCCTTCTATTCAACCATCCTTCCATTGATCCAGCCAGCCAGCCAGCCAGCCAGCAATCTGTCCATTCATCCATCCATCCATTCATCCATCTGTCCATCCAGCCAGCCATCCATCCAGCCATCTGTCCATCCATCTCCATCCATCCATCCATCCATCTGTCCATCCATTCAACCATCCAGCCATCCATCTGTCCATCCAGCCACTCATTCATTCATATACACTATCACAGGGCACTTACTGTGGTCACAGGTCTAGAACTGGGAACAGCAACCTCTGCCTCTTGGAGCTCACTGATGGCTAGTGGATAAACAACTCAGCATCATCATTTTTGCAGGGAGTGTGTTAGGAAGGAGAGATATGGTGACAAGATTGAAGTGGGGGTGGGGGTGGGGGTGGGGGAAACAGGACTCCTCAATGCAGAGGAAATAACTGCTACAAAGGCCTAGAGGCAGGTTCACAACTAGAACCAGAGGACGGTGCAGAAGACTGGAGGAGAAACAGGAAACGGAGGGCGCTGGGGGAAGGATGAATGGATTTTACTATTCTGAATGGATGAGACCTGGGAGGGTTTGGGTCCTTCTCCGGCCTGGCCCTGTCTTCCTTGCCATGCAGGAGCCCGCAGCCATTCCTCGATCAACCATTCCTAATTCCAAACTGAATCCCGATTAGTAACAATAAAGGTCTCCCATTATTTTTGTTTTAAACTACAAATTCCTCTGTACAGAAGCTAGTGCACATTGCTGTGGGTGCCCCCCGTCCCGCCCCCGCCGGCGTATTTTCTAGAGCCACCCCAGTACAAAGTCCGTGTGCGTTTGGGAGGTCAGAGGACCCAGCTGCAAGCCCTCACCTCCGCCTGGGTGGCGGGCGGGTACCTAGATCAGCCAAGCCTGGGATCTCACAGAGAGCGAGGACTCGCCGGTCCATCTCCGCGTCGGGAGAACAGGGATGGATTTATTTTTATTTATATTTTTATGTTTATCAGAATCTTTCCGATTCCCTCCAGCGGGTTTGTGATAATTTTATAGTGCGAGTGGAGGAGAAGGGCAAACATGTTACCCTTAGAAAAAATAGATTTCCCAAACGACAAGGGAGCGGGAGAGACGTCCCTGCGCTAGCCGGGCGCTGTGGGCGGGGGTGGGCGGGGGGTGGGGTGGGGCAGCCTCAAGGCGCGAAGTTATTCTTGGTCTCTCGGCGCCTCCGCAGCTGGTGAGCTTTTTATAAACGAGCCCCCCTCCCTGCCTCCTGGGGTGGAAGCTGGGGGATCGGGAATATCCTGTGACCACAACCCTCTGCCGGGCCTGGGGACAGGAGTTGCATGGGCAGGGACCCGGAGTGGTGGTTTGGGTCTTGTCCCCTCCCCCTTCTAATTCCCCCCACCCCAAGATTTTGGGAAATTAACCACGGAGCATCTAAATCCCCCAAATCTCTGCCTCTGAGTATTGTTTTCCCAGTATGGCGGGAGGGGTGTCTCAGTCCGTGTCTTTTAGCTCCGGAACCTGGGAGGATTAAGCATCTCCTAACCACGCGACTTTATTTTTGGGTCTCTGAACCTCGCTCACGTCTTCCCTGTTTCCTGAGTCTCCCGCCGCAGGCTTTCGGGGCTTAAGGGACAGGCCGTTTCTCTGTCCTAATTCCGCCTTTTCTTTACATTTTTTTCCCCCTGGAAAAAGGGGCGCAGGGAGGGAGAGGTCCTAGAAGCATCCACCAATTCCTTTCTTCTTTCCTAGGGGCTGGGGGGGGGGGCGGGTAGGGGGAGCGGCAGCTGTCATCGAGTCTGAGGAACAGGGTGGAGCGTCTATCAGTCCGCTCCTCCTTGGAGGTCTCCCAGCTCAAATTGGACGGTCTCTTTTGTACTTCTTTATTCTGAACTCCATAAATAGGGAGCATAGCGCATATCTTAGACCTCTGTTTTCCCTTTCTGAAATTGGGACTACGGAGCGTTGAACGAGAGGTCACAACTTCCAGGACAGGGCGGTCGTCTCCAGAGTCCCCCACCTGGGGTGGACGCGTGAAGGGGAGAGCTACGCCCCCTGAAGACCCAGGCTCGGCCAAGGGCTCCGCCCTCGGCCCTTCAATCACTCGGGAGTCACCATTGGACGGGAGAGCGTCGATAATCTCTTATTGGTTATTCTCCCCGTCGCTCTAGCCCTTAAGCCAGTGAGAACACGCCATGAGCCCCGCCTTCCTGACAGCCGAGAGGCGGAGCCAGCAGACCGCCCCGCCCCGCCTGCGCCGGCCCCTCCTGCTACTGGTTGCATACCCTGAGTCCCACCTTATTAGCGCGTCAATCTGCACCGGAGCCCCGCCCCCACGGGCTCCGCGTGCGTCAGTGGGCCACAACTCCTCGCGCGGCGACGCCCCAGTATGGCGTCACGGCCTTATCTGCATGTGAGGCCCCGCCCCGCTCTTTGCAGGACGTCACCGCGGACTGCAGGGGCCTGAGCTACCGCTGCTGCTGCTGCTGCTGCTGCTACTGCTGCTGTAGCTGCTGACGCCGCGCAGCACCGCGTCAGCGCACCTGGGGCCCTGTCACCGCCGCCGCCAAAAAAGTCGCCGCCACCCGGGTCGCCACCGCCTCGGTCAGGGTAAGGTGAACTCCCAGATGGCCCGGTGCGCGCTAGCTCCCAGCACCTACTTAACCTTCATTTGACTGATGGGCTGGCGGGGGTGGGGGACGAGGTTGGCGGGGGTTCCGTGGAAGGATGCGGAGTTCGCGGGCCTGAGGATGGTAGGACCCCGGGTTCTCCTGTCTGTCCGATCCTCACCCCCAATCCTCCACACACATTCCCCCCCCCCCCCGCCCGCCCTGCTCTGCGGAGGAGGGGGAGGGGAGGCGAGTGCCTTGCGGGAAGCTGTGCGCGCGAGGCTCTGTGCGTGCGCGTGCGCGTGGTGTGCACACGCGTGTACGCGCCCGCCTGTGCTGGCGGATCGGTGTGTACCTTGGCGTGTTCTAGGGTTTGCTCGTATGATCCCTTGGGGGTCCGAACCCAAGTGTGTGCGTGCTGCATGAGTATGGAGCCACGGGAGCCACGGAGGCCCCGACCTGGGGTGGGCGGGTAAGGGGACTGTGTGTGTGTGTGTGTGAGTGCACGGTCGTGTGAATATGTGACGGGGATGCGTGACCATGGGGGTGGTGTGTATACACCTGCAGGGGCGAAGGGCGTCGTGTGCACGGGTGGGTTTGCACATTTGTATATGCAAGTCTGAGTGCAGACAGGTGTCGGCTTCATGTCCGGTGCACCGAATGTGTTCTCAGCTTCATGTGTGCATGAGCGTGGACCTACGTGTGCCCTGCTGAGTGCACGTGAGCATATGCACGCCCCGCCCCCATCACGTGACGAGACTGCCTTGGTCCTGTTCTCCCCATCTGGAGGAAGTGGGGGTTGCTGCGGCTGTGCCTCCAGGCCAGTGCATGTGCACCATTCTGTTCTGAAGAACATGAATGATTGATGGGGGGCGGGGCTGACTGAAGTCTTACCCTCCCAGTGTAGCCTCAGGTTTAAGGTTACTGCTGGACCTGGCGAGCCTGCTGGGGGGCCTGCAGGAATGTCCCCATCCCTGTCACTCTTGAGTTCATCTGAAACCTCAGGCCCTTCAAGGTCATTGCCCGCTCCTAGGGGAGCCCTGCCATTCCCACTGGGGTTCCTGGTGGGGTAAGGGTAATCACACACTAGTCTGCTCTGGAGTTTTCCCTTTCCTGCAAAGGCTTGGGCATTTGGGATGAAGACCCCTCACACTCTTCTATGCCTGAACCTCCAGATGGCGTCAGCCACAGACTCACGCTATGGGCAGAAGGAGTCCTCGGATCAGAACTTCGACTACATGTTCAAGATTCTCATCATTGGCAACAGCAGTGTAGGCAAAACATCCTTCCTCTTCCGCTATGCAGATGATTCCTTCACGCCTGCCTTTGTCAGCACGGTGGGCATAGACTTCAAGGTCAAGACCATCTACCGCAATGACAAGAGGATCAAGCTGCAGATCTGGGTGGGTCCCTATGGGAATCTCGTGGCTCTCTCACTCTCCTCCTTCCTGTCTAGATTCATTCCTTCACACTGTGGGCATTTTTCAGGCACTTACAAGGGACCATAGACACAGGGAGCACTCCAGTTCCCCAATGGGAACCTGCTCAGTGCTCTCCAGCGTGGGGAAGGAGCATATGCTGGCTCCTATCCCACCACAACATAGTTGAGAGCATCTCTTAGCTTGGGGCCTGTTTCCCCACGTTCAAGTTCTTCCATGTGAGCTGTATGAGATTTCAGCTGGACTCTGATCCCCAACTTCATTCCCTGGGACCAAAGCAGATGCTTCTTCCAGGGTCTCCTGGCCACCTCCCTCAACCCCACTGATGACCGGAGGAGCCTGAGAAATCCCAAGTCAAACCCCCCCCTTCTCTACTCACAGCCATGGCTCCTACCCCACTCAGGGTAAAACCCACCTGCCCCCGGCCTGGTGTGGCCCAGTCCATACCTCCACCTCCTCTTGCTTCATTTTTCCTCAAATGCATCAGGCACAGTCCCACTTCAGGGCCTTTGTCCAAGCTGTGTTCAACTTCACGCTGAGAAGTTTACATGTGGGTCCTCTCTGACTGTCTTCCCTTCTCCAGGACACAGCAGGGCAAGAACGGTACCGGACCATCACTACAGCCTACTACCGGGGCGCCATGGGCTTTATCCTCATGTACGACATCACCAACGAGGAATCCTTCAATGCTGTGCAGGACTGGTAAGCATGCCCTAATCCCTTCCCAGACTACCTCCTGAGCTGGGCTTGATGCAAAGCCTGGGGCATGGCGAAGCTGAGAGAGTGAAGTATAATAATACTGGTGTCCCAGAGCTACTGTAAACCTATAAGCATCAACAGTGTGGTATTGGGGCCTCCCTGGTGGCCTACGAGTTAAGTCTCAGCGCTATTACCACTGTAGCCTCAGTTCGATCCCAGGTCAGAGAGCTAACCCACATAGCTCAGCAGACCACTCCTGTCTCGCCCGCTGCTCCCCTCAGCAGTGTATTTCAGTCAGTCTGCCTGTTCTGCTCCCTACCCTGTCTCTGGTGAATCCTCTCACCCCTTAGCCCCACACACACCTCTGGCCTACACTCCAGTTCTTGTATGCATAAATAATAAAAATAAATCTTTAAAAAAGAGAAAAGGAAAACTGTAAACACAAAGAAAAAAAAACCAGACACCTGAGGGGGACAGAAAAATGAAAGGCTAGTTTGCACAGGTTAGAGAATATAAATATTTAAGTATTCTACCCCAAAATAATGATACATTTTAAGATACACTGAAAGAAGGACTCCAAGATCAGCTGTTTCCCGAAGGACCACCCACGGATGGATTGGACAACTGATAGAGAGGAGACAGCCTGTCACATTCAAAGAATGGGAGGTGGGGTCTGAAGCTGGCACCCTCTGAGCCGTAACCAACCTCCATCACTATCACCGCCTCCTCTAGGTCAACTCAGATCAAGACTTACTCATGGGACAATGCCCAGGTGCTGCTGGTTGGGAACAAGTGTGACATGGAAGATGAACGGGTGGTGTCGTCAGAACGTGGCCGACAGCTAGCTGACCACCTTGGTGAGTGCCCAGTGGAACTTGCTGCCCACAGGCTGAGGGGACACTGAGGCCCTGAAAGGGGAGGGGGACACACCCAAGGTCTCATAACAAAGCCAGGACAGGGTCTGGATTAGAATCTGGACAGTTCACAATTTTTGCTTAGTGGCCACCACTCACGGGCTACTGGAGGTGGACATTGAGGGATGCATAGGGATTCACCATGTAGGAAGGGACTCATTCATTCTGACACCATGCTGGGCCCTTGAGAGGCCTCCAGCTTTGGGAGGGAGAGGGACCTGGGCTGGGGGAATTCTTGGTGGGAGAGAGGCTCTGCAGGATAGAAGTAGGGTTTCCTGGGGGCAGGGATGGGGGGGCTGCTGTTTGAAAGAAGGGTGGTCTTTCTGGCAAAGGAAACAGCTTAGGCAAAGGCCAGATATGGGAAATTCTGTTTTGGCAGATAGTTTTTTCTGACTGGAACATGAGGATCACTCAGGAAATGAAGCTGATGGTATAGGGCCAGAATCAGGTCCGAGGGACCCAGTCTCTTCAGAGAGCAATCGAGAGCCCCTGAAGTGTGTGTGTGGGAGGACCAGGATGCTCATCCCTCTCTTCCCCGACCGCAGGGTTCGAGTTCTTTGAGGCCAGCGCCAAGGACAATATTAATGTCAAGCAGACTTTTGAGCGCCTGGTGGATGTCATCTGTGAGAAAATGTCCGAGTCATTGGACACAGCAGACCCTGCGGTGACTGGTGCCAAGCAGGGCCCACAGCTCACGGACCAGCAGGCGCCCCCGCACCAGGACTGCGCCTGCTGAGAGCTGCCCTGCCCCTGCCCCCTCCCTGCCCCCAGGGCCTGCCCAGGCCCCACTGCCCAGGCGCCAGACCCCTGCCCTGACTTCCCCATCACCCTTATTTATTATCGTAGCTATTTATTTATTTATTGGAGATGTCCCCAAGGGCTCAGATGTCCCACCCTGTACATACAGCCCTGTCCCCACTCTGCCGTGGCGTGTTGTGACCCTGTGAACTCACCGCTCACCTCTCCAGACCCCCTCCCTTTTTTTAATTTGCCCCCATCAACACTTAATGGTTTGGAAGAGGAGGCCAGATGACACCCAGGCAGGCTGATCCAGTGATGGGAGGTGGCCAGGCCTGCCGGCCCCTCGGCTGGGACTCAGTTGTCAAGACTACTGCAGGGGTCTCGGCATGGAGCACAGTGGGGCAGAGCCAGGCAATGACCCACCTGGCTCCTTGTTCCCCAGGTTTCATCTGTTTTGGGAGTGGGGGGCTACTGTGGGTACTCACCACCCTGGGACCCCTACCCCTCATACACCAGACCTGTTCTGAAGTCATGAGTGTCACACCTGCCTCCCAGTTCCCCAGGAGATGTCATGACTACACTACACACACCCAATAAAGCGAATGGATCACAGTCTCCTGTGAACACTAACTCTGGTCATGCACAGGATTTCCAGTTACAGAGAATTTAATGATATTTCCATAGTCCATGATTAGTGCTGAAGACTGCAGACTGCTGGGCCCTGCCTAAGCCTCCTGATTCTGAGGGCTAACTCCAGGCTGGCCCTCACCTTGGTCCCAGGGCCTGAGGGGAACAGAGCCTACCTAGCCCATGGCAGTGTTGGTGGGTTGGAGCTGGCTGGGGTACAATGCTGAGGACGGGTTACCTCAGGCACCGGCCACTAAGGGCTCAGTGAGGGCTGGGGGATGACTGTCCAGCTTTATGATTGTGTTTCAAATGGAGAAATAGACCTAGTGATAGGTTTGGAAGGGGCAGCCCAGCCAGACGCCCCACTTGGGGTGGGGATGGGACCTGGCGTAGGCGCCTGGCCTACTAGGAGCTTGTTTCCCTCCCACCCAGGTGGGGGGTCAGTCTTGCCCTGTCTGGCATCCAGTTGGAGTGTGAGGCAGCTCAGTCTGCACGGTGCCCAGGGCCACGCAACCTGGGGGCGTCACTGGTTCAGGGATCTGTGCGCACAAGAAGGTCTGGTCAAATGCCTGCACATCCTAGCTGAGCCCTCCTCCACCTGTCCAACTGGACAGATGCAGCACCAGGCAGCAGAGGTGGGCTGGGTCTTTATCCTGGTGATCGGCTCCTTGCCTGCCCACTGTGGGATGCAGGTTATCATGGGCACGGGAGGCCCTCACCCAGGAGTGTGCTGTACTGTCACTTCAGGTTCACAAAGGTGGTCCCGGAGGAGTTCCCTGGGTGCCTGGTGTGCCCAATGTGCTCACCCGGTACTTAAGGTAGGAGAGGTACGTGTCCCAGCCCAGCGTCAGGCCGTTGATGTAGGTGACTCGGAACTGGGGGGGCACGAAGAGGAAGTTCACCAGCTGCGCAGTTGGCCAGACGCACCAATCCACCTGCAAGGAGGGGTGGAATGGTGAGGGGTGAGCCCAAGAGGGACCTGGGTCTGAGAGGCAGGACTTAAGGGGGAAGGGCCGAAAGAGAGGGCAGATAAGGTGGTGGGCGGAATGGGATCTTAGAGAACATGCCCACCTTGTAGAATTCCCAGAACTTGTCCCGTAACTCCTGGCAGCTCTCATCCAGTGTCTGGCCCTCCAGGCAGCCAATGCCTGGTAAGGAAATCAAGAAACGAGTGTCAGAGGCTGGTGAGTCCCAGATGTTGTAGTGAGCAGGGGGGTACAAACACTCGTGGGTAAAGGGGGGTTTTAAAGTTTCCCAGTGGGAAAGCAACACAGCAGCCTGCTGTGGGGGAACTACACAGAACAAGTAGGTTCCAGCGAGATGTTACAGCATGCCAGGACAAAGACAGAGACAACACCCTTCCAGAGACTGAGGCTGTCATACTGTTTTATTACAGTCATTCATAGATAAGGAAATTGAGCCTGGGGGAAGGGGAATGCTCTTTCCTCAGAGCCTGTTTGCATTCCACAAACCCTGGCCTCAGCAACTCTTCCTTCAGCCTTAGGTCCTTTGCATGGCCTGGTCCCCCTGCCTCGGCTTCTTCAAGTCTCAGCTGAGTGTCCCTCCTTTAGAAAAGCCCGCCTGACCACAGTCTTCATTCCTCAATCGCAGAGCGTGTGGTTCTGTCATGCACAACTGCCCCCACTGGATCTGTCCTGTCTCCACTGTGACCTGGCCCTCAGTCCAGGGCCACCCATACAGGAGATACATCAACATCTTTATTTTTTAAATTTATTTATTTATTTATTTATATTTTACATCACCGTTCATTTTTGTACAATGTTTGCTTTCTTTTCTCAGGTGTAGTCCCCATAGAATTCCCACCACCAATTCACCCGTGCACCATCACCATAGTCCCTTGTGCTCCTCCCACGCTCGATTTGATCCCTCTCCCTCCCCTGCAGAATGTCTGATTTATAGAATATCTTTCTTAATGTGAAGCTGGCTCTGACCTATAGGAGTTCCTTACCCAAGAAGTACCAGACGCCCATCAAGGGAGAGGCTACCAGCTGGTCTACGAGGACCTTCTTGAGGATGTTTGGGAGGTCACGGAAGCCAGATGCGGGGAGCAGACGGTCGAGCCATAGGTACCAGTAGTGCAGGAAGGGGCCCATGCTGCAGCCCACAGCAAACATGCTCGCTGAGGGCAGTCCAAGAGTCCGGTCCATGTCAGGAGGGCAAATCTCACCCCCTCCCTGTCTAAGACCTGGGTAAATCCTCCCTCTCAGAGACCACACATATATTCTTTACAGCCCCACCAACAGGCATACTCCTGGGATTCCTTATCTTCTCCCCTCGTGCCCTCACCACTCTTCCAGGGTAATCCATCAACCCACTTCCAGAAGTGGAAATGGAGGTTCAGTGTGTAGGAAAATGGGAAGTGTGCAGGCAGGGAGTGACCGCAGGCTGGCCAGGTCCAGACGCTGCACCCTTGCCTGCTCCACGGGTGGGAGTGCACAGAAACCCCGGCTATGATAGACAGAACCCCTAAGTGGGACAAGACCGAGCGGTAGTTGGGGACGGGTGGGAGGGTACTGAGACCCAGGACGGCAGTGGTGGGACCGGGAGAGGTAGGAGATCAGGGAGCGTCTATGGGCTCTGCCCGGGGCAGAGGAGACAGATGAAGGGTGACAGCCCGCGGGTCTGGGGTCAAAGGTCCCTCGGGGTCAGGGCCAGCAGCGCCGGCCTCCCCACCTGAGCGCCACGGGTTAAACTTCTGGCCGGGTCGGGCGCGGATTTCCCAGGACTGGCGCGCGCCGTCCCCGGCAGCCATGAGCGTGCCGCAGCCCAGCGTGTTGGTGACCAGCAGAGCACGACCTTGGAACAGGGGCTGCCCAGCGGCCCACAGGCCGCGAAGCCAGCGCCAGCCGCCGGACGCCATCGCCAGCCGGTGCACAGGCCGGTGCCCCCGGCCGCCCTGCCCATGCAGGCCAATCGCGAGTCACCGCCGGCGGGATGCCCGCCTCGTGCTGCTCGGGCCAATCGCGACCGCTGGGCTCTCCGCCCCGGAAGACATGAGCCAATAAAAGCTGGGTACCGCACCCGGCAGCTAGCGCTGAACGAATCCTCACACCCGCAGGCTACGCCTGCCAATGCCGCCGTGTCACCCTCTTTTCCCCGCCTCTTACTGAACCGGCCTATGGCATCACACTTAATTAACCGGACTTGCTCTGCACTGGCCAATCGCAGGCCAGAGTTACACTGTCGTCCCGCCTCCCATGTTGTGGCGGCCAATCGCGGACAGTTACAGCTTGTGCGCGTGCGCGTGCGCGTTTTCCCTCTAGATTTCCATATTTTTCTGGAAGTCCTGAGCCGGGCTCCGACCTGTGGCCAAGGCAACTACCGAGGCGGAAGTCCAGTCCCGCAAAGACTCCGGACATGGACGGCGGGGCGGGACTGTAGTTCTGCTGCGCGCGCAGACTAGTGGGCACTTAGCTGGCCCTGTGTCTAACTGTAGACGAGCTGCCGATCCCAGTTCTAGAGTAATAATGCTAATTAAAACCTTAGGGCCTCCCCGGTGGCGCAGCGGTTGAGCGCTGGTTTGCGAAGCTGCCCGCGGCCGGTTCGATCCCCGGCTGCTCCCCGGCCACCGGAGGAGGGTCCCACATGGCGCGCAGACCTCTCCTGCCGCCCGCTGCTCCCCTCAGCAGTGTACTTCGGTCCTTCTGACTGCTCTGCTCCCCGCTCTGGCTCTGGTGAATTCTCTCACCCTCCCGCGCTTCTGACTGTACCCAGTGCATGTATAAACAAAACAAACAAGCAAACCAGCAAACAAATAAATAAAGCATGCCTCTATAAAAAAAAAAAAATAAAATAAAACCTTAAACACCATTTTGGGCATGTTATTTGCATTAGCGCATTTCACAGCAGCTTTGTGCTACTGCAGGAACAATGAAATTCCCATTTAACCTCCTGTGCAATCGGAGGGGAAAACGTGAGTCTCGTTGGAAACTTTCACTTCACCTGCTGGAGCATGATGTCCAAACTGTGGCCCCCAGGGCAAATTTTGCTACTGCCTGTATTTTTGAGGCCCGTGAGCTAAGAATGTTCCCTTTTTTAAAGGTCTCAGGAAAATCAAAGTAATATTCTGTGACTTGTGAGAATTACATGAAATTCATATTTGTGTCCATATATAAAGCTTTATTGGACCACAGCCAAGTCCATTTGTTTTCCTTAGTATCTCTTACTACAATGAGTGTTATAGGACAGGGAGAGGGGCAGCCCAAGCCCCGCAAACCTGCCCATTCTAAATGGGTTCTGCCATCCGCCGATCAACACAAAACATATGAGACTTTAATGGGAAGGAACTTTAATAAAACTAGGAAACAATACAGGAAAAGCAAATAATCTAGTTTCTAAATCAAGCACCCAAAGTTACCCATCCCCTCGTGGGTAAAAGTCCATCCCAATGGGATTGGCCCAGAGCAAGGCCCCAAGGCCTGCCACAAGTCTAAAGCATCTTCCAGTGGGGACCCACAGAAAAGGGTCACAAACAACCGGACAAGTCCGGAAGGAAAAGAGCAAAATCAACATCAAAATAAAAGCTGCCATTGTCACCTCCCCACGGGTCTCACCCACATCTGTGTCACCCCGTCCACGACCAAAAGGCAAGAGCAGTTTCTTCACGTGTCTCTAGGCTCCACGCGCCTCCTCCAGGTCTCCTGGCTCCATCCTGCTTCCTTCCTCAGTCTCTTCTCCAGCTTCTCCTCTTCCTGCTCAGCTCCACCCTCCCTTGGGTGGGGCAGGGAACCTCCCCCTTTCCTGGGGACCACCCTGTTACATGAGTAGTTGCAACAAAGACAGGCCTGCAAAAACCAAACCATTTATTATATGACCCTTTATGAAACATTTTTTGCCTTGTATTAAAACAACTTTTATCTTTGTTTAGTCTCCCCATACATATTTGTTGCTTTACCACCATTGCCACTCTTAGTTCCATCTACTACGCACTCAGGGTGTTAGGAGAGTGGATGCTTGTGGGTCTGGGTGTGTACAACGGTTGTAGAATAACAGCCGCCACATCAAACGTGAGAGCAAGCAAGTGTAGATTTATTGAAGAGGAAAGAACTCCTGAAAACAGGAGGGGGGCCCAAGGGAGGTTGCCTGTTGTATTCCAGCCCTGTCCATTACTGTATACTCTCATACTTGCTGTTGTCCAATGTGCAAGACTATTGATTAGGTACTAGGTGATCAGGAAGTTTTGTGGTGGTTGTTTTTCTGTTCCCTAATTATCCTGTAACCGGATCTTACTCTAGGTGGTGACTAGCTCAGCCACATTTCAGTAAAATTTTAATTTTTCTGGGAGCTGTTTTGTTCCTTCTGTTCCTATATTGCTAAAATCACTGTCCCTGGGCCTCCGGTGGCGCAAGGGGTTAAGATGCAACCTATGAGGCTGTCCACAGGCATTGCAGCACAAGTTCGATCCCTGGTCAGGTTGCTGACCCACATGGCACAGTAGACCTCTCCTGACTAACCTGCTGCTCCCCTCAGCAGTGTATTTCAGTCAGTCTGCCTGTTCTGTTCCCCACTTTGTCTCTGGTGAATCCTCTCACCCTCCACACCTCTGGCTTGTACCCCAGTACTTGTATGCATAAATAAAACCTTAAAAAAAATCACTGTCCCCATGTCTCAGCCTTCCTGTTCCCCAAGTTCTCCTGGTCTCACTTCCTCTCAAGAGTTTTCTGATTCTGATCCTCTGGTAGATATTTTGCAAACTCTGTAGTTCTAACTGACAACAACAAAAAACCATGCCTATGGACATGCAAATGAATTCTGCCAAGCGAAAAGACAACTCACCCTAATTTTTTTTCACCATAATCAGCAAAATCATTTTAATATTCTTGATTTGTCTGCTGGGATTTCCTTTGCACTGATTTGAACATCTGACCAGTTTTATATCAGCATAAGTCATGATTTTACCTTTTTGGGGAAAATTATCCTTCAGCATTTTCTATTGTTGCAAAGTACCGCAGCTTGGTATTTCAGATCCCAGATATAACTGCCTCTTAGTGGAAAACTTCCAAAATGGCTAAAATGTTAGGCGGGGGCAATCATAAGATAATTCACAGACACAGTCAGATAAACTATACATTTCATGGTACTTTGAAGCCCTGGAGACTCCAAAGAGGTAAGAGAATTTTGTTAACTATTTCTCTGTTATTTTGCTCTTTATAGATTTGTATTTTACTTTTGATGCCTTCATGACAGATAATGTCAACCACATTTGACATGGCATCAAAAATTGTTGGGATGCAGAAGAATTCTCCAATCCTTCTGTGTTCTTCTGAGACTGGATAAATTATCAGACAGATAAGTAGGAGATAATTACCCAAGTTAATATGTATGGAGAATTTACATGGCTATAAATACTAAAGTAAACCAGGCTAATCAGGGGTTATAGCTCATGCTAAGGGGGCCTGGGGCATCAAGGAGAGAGCAGGAATTCTCATATGATGAGATGGGGATGACTTCAAGTGCTAGAGCCGTGTCAGTAGGTGTTTGCCCTGCATTAAGATAGGCTTCTCTGGAGAGGTCCCTAAATCTAGGTAACTGTATTCTTCAAGTGATGGTAATAGTTTCTCCTGAGGCTCACAGGGACTTCTTTGACCTTAGTTCCACACACCAAGGTGACAGGTATTGGAAAAGACTTACCCGGGGCATCTTGGAAAATCCTACCTGAATCTTTTGGAGGAGTTGGGTCCCACAGCCTATGATCTGACCATCTCTTCCATTGGATTATTGGTTGCTGGCTGAGAGACAATGGAGGGTCAATTAAGAATTTACTACCCACCAGGAAAAAAGCTTTTGATATCCAGATCTGTGATTCTGAGTGTTTCTGTTAAAAGAGTTCAGTATGTGCCCCCCAAAATATGCTACCTTCAACAGACTGGGTATTTTGATTAAAGGCATGTGGAATGTGGTAAGAGGTGAGACGGGCACTCAGATCATCCTTCTTCCTCCTGAAAGTGGAAGATAAAATTCCCATGGGAAAGTTGCTCTCCCTGTACCAGAAGGAAGAAAAAACGTGCGGTAGTGCCAGGATAGGCACAGAGCAGGTTATCTATGATCCCGCAGGCGGGTAAAGGACAGTCCTGGAGCCGTCAGTGGCTTTCTCAGGCTTTTATTGAGCTTTACGTGTAGTATGGCAAACAGGTACATGGCAGGTAGGGGGGCCAGGGGGCCAGGAGGCCTCCAAGCCCCCAGTAAGTCTTCACTCTGCTTCTCTCTTTTCTGGCTTTCTCCCCTTCTCTCTCTTGCTGCTTCTCCTGCTTCTGCTTCCCTTGGCGAGTATCTCAACACTCCTTCCCAGGCAGTGGCTCACAGATGTAAATAAGACAGTTTGCAACAATGTAACAACTGCAGGTGCCCCATCAGGCAGGGCAACCCCAATGGTGGGAGGGCAGAAAAGCCTGAAAACCATTTACCCTACAATTCACCCCTTCAGGGTTTTCTGCCATACTATCTATATACAAGTATATACAAGTTTCCTTTAACAAACACAAACACAGCAGCCATGGCCCCAAAAGAAACTACAACAGGACACAAATAATTCCAGGCAGGACACCCACCTAGTGGCAAAAGACGATTATTGGCACCAGCAGATGATCCACCAAATCTGCTACTGAAGGCACTGCTCCTAGGAGGGAGGGGAACCACTCAATCATCTGCTGTCACCCACCAGGAGCCGTCAGGCTTCCTGGCCTCTGCCTGTGGTCTCAGCCACAAACCACATATAAGATCCACCCCCAGGATGCACTCACTCTTGGATTGGTGATTTTATACTTTGGGGGTAATCGCCCAATCCTCAGGGTTTCTGTCTGAGGTCGCTCCAACACTGGGCTTTCATAGCCACCAATGTGACACACAGACCCCTGCACTCAGGCCAACCCACTG